TTTTCTCTTTCTGGACGGCTTGTCCTACATGAGAAACGGCATCGTGGATTTGAAGGCTGATAGTAGGACGAGAGCCGAGGAGACACGAACGCATCCGGCGAGATTCGTCCCCATGTAGACGCTCTTGTAGAAATCGTAGTTGGGATGTACGTCGGTCCTCGTCCAGAAGAGGACCGTGCCATAGTAATCCGTGCCGATGCCGAAGATGTAAAATTCCATATGTATCTTGCAGAAGATCGGGGTTCCGGTCATTATATCTATGTCACTCGCATCGGATAGGAGACCGCACCTGTTTGGCCCGTTCAAGACGGTGTATTGCAACTTTTCGCAGTCGACCTCCCTCCCACTGCTCACGAAGGCGCAGAACATGCTGAGACAGGAGATCTGGTCCTTCTGAACTAGTATCGTCGATGAGGTGATGGTGCGGCTTTTCTTGTTGTAGCCGACCGAATAGCAGTCAACCTTGCCGTCTAGGACGTCGGCCAGTCGGATGTTGTTGTCCCTGTTGATGGGCTGGAGGATTGCAAGTTGATCGAGGTTGAAGGAGTTCTCGATCTTCCACCCGCCGAGGTTGGACTGGTATCGACTCTTGTCCCACTTGCTCGGCATGCAGTGCCCGTTCACGATGGTGTGCTCGATCTCGAATAACTCCTTCGAGGCAGACATGAGGACGGAATTCCTCGCGTCGAACTCGTTGAAAACGTAATAGTTGAGAGCTTTTTCGTGCAGGAAATTACCGATGCACGTGCACGCCGTGATGACGGTCCTGCTCGAGACGATACCACCCAGGCAGAACACCTCTTCGGTCTCGCGTTTCATCGCATAGATGACATAGCTGTTAAAATCTTTCTCCGGCAACGTCGGAACGAGGCACAAGGCCCACAAAGACAACACCCTCAAGCAGAGGTTCATAAAGAGACCTTTCTGACCCTACTTCGTCGACTTTCCCAGGTGAAATCCTTCCCCATAAAAAGCAGAATAAATGCATTACTAACTCGATTGTCTTTTTTTCAATGACCAATCAGACGCGACATACATTTTCGAATAAAGTTTCTCCCACATGTGTTCATTTTGTACAAAGCTATTCCAGAAATTCTTAAAAAACGACACAAAACACTCATTCACCTTATGTATGCTCATGGCAACTACAAGGCATGGTTGTAGATGTAGATGTATCGGTCGGGGTGTAATATACTGCGCCCTTTAAGAGCTATTATATCCCCCATGCTGTGCCTATAACACATCGGTAAGTCCTATTTCACCAAGAACCTTGATTAATATGCCCGGTTTCAGTGGTTGAATTTCTTCTACAGTCACATTCATCTCAAAACATTTCCTCCTGCGGGCAAGTGTGGCACCACAGTTTGTTAGTAGGTGTGTTGGTGTCACCTCTGCCTCTCTGCAGAATTGCGTGTGTGCCATCTTGGATTACACCAATTTTCTTTAAATGTCCTGTTAAGAATACTGTTAGGATTCGCAGTTTTTTCCTGCTTCCTTTGATACATTCTATCACTTCTTTCCTTCCGAAATTTGTTAGGAGGTTCTTGGATAGTTTGTGTCCAATGAGTGAATTCCATTGTTCCCTCATTTTCTTTTTATCCTTCTGTCTGAGGTATTCTTTGAGAGTGTGGATTCCTATGCCACAGAACGATTCCGGTCCTATCAGCGGTATAGCAGCCCCTTTTCTTGCAAGGGTATCTGCTCTCTCGTTGCCTTCTACTTCCAAATGTCCTAGACTCAGCAGAGGCTGATTTTGTTCTGATACCTAATATATTTAATTTAGTTGTGCAGTTTTGCAACCTTCTTGAACTAAGATATTTGAACTTTGTGCTTTGATGGCTGCTTAGCTATCTGACATGATAGATACGTTCTTGTTTTTGTACGCTTTAGTCAAGTTGAATTCACCTACTGGGTTACACTCAAATCGTAATTATTCCAACAGATAATTTCAGTTTTTGCCAAGGCCATACACTTTCATCCTTCACCTCCACCTAAAGGATCAACTGCTCGTCTAGGTTTTTTTTTATTTTTTTTTTAAATCTCACAGTTAGCTTTAGCATATTGATCATGTTTCTTTTGTGTAGAAGGCTTCTTGTGGTTTTGCATCACCTATTAATTTATATCTGGATCGGCCGTAATTTCAAGTAGTATCAAGGGTACAAAAGTCTTTGGTTGTATGACAGTAATTTTTTTGATTGTTGTTTTTCATCACCTAGCATTAATGTATATCTCAATCAACTCTCACTTCAGCACAGAAGACGCAAGAAATCTGGCAGCAAGCAGTCATCTTTTCCTGCTGGATCCCAGATAAAACCCTAGTTACACTTGTATCACCAAAACTAGATCCGAGATAGCCTGATAAACTACACTTATCTGCTCGACCTAAAAGACCAAAATCTTGTCTACGTATGTTTAAGCTTTAGTATTCTGATTAAGTGGCAAGTCGATCTTTCGTGTAAATAACAGATTGCGGTTTTACATCGCGTAGCAGAATAAATTTACGTCGTCTGGACCCTCACAGCAACACAGAATACGAAAAACTGTATGTTTACCTACTTGGGCCTACTCCTCCTCTTGCAGCACCTTGACCCTAGGTAAAATCCTGGTCGAAACAAATCTGACAAATACTAAAGCTGTTTATGCCACGATATAAGCGCTCATTTCTACACTTTCCATCCTAATATCTCCTTATATTGGCAGACCTCTCATTGACAAGTAAATAGGGAAAGGTGAGCTCCTATGAAACTTACCTAAATACCAAAGCTATTTCAGTCATCGTAATACACATTCACTTTTCTCTTTTCCACCTTGATTCGATTATCTTATTATTTGCAAATGACAAGAAGTATCAGGACGGAAAGGCGCTGAAGAGCTCTTGAATTATTATGGGTGGAAAATCAAAGCAATAGAACCTTCAGACTTATTGCGTAGGAGAAGCTCACTATTCACCATTTTTTACCAATATCAGGAGAATCAGGAAAGGAGAAATGTGAGCTCTTGTACCAGGATGAGTAAAGGTCATAAGCAGCTCCTTTCTTTTAAATTTTATTACGACGCCCTCCCATAATTACTTCTGCAGACTAGAAGTTGTGTTTGAAACAAGCTGTAGTATTTTGCCAGAGCTTTTTCATGGGAGCTGACTTTTCCAGTGAAAATCGTGCTGCCATAGTGTTACAACCAAAATTATTTCGGTTCAGAGCAAAATTATCCCGGTAGCTCGTCGGGAGTGGGGGGTGAGAATAGAGGGACAATTTACGAATCAAAAAAAATTAAAGAACAAAGAAATATTTCTGAATTGGGCGCCACCCCATTTTATGCCTCCATAGTAATGGAGAACTCCTTTAACTAAAAGTATATTCTTGTTTATGCCGTAAATAAACCAAAAATAAATAAATCTATGAGAGGAAAGTAGTATATTTTCTGTATAAATAAAAAAAATATTTACTTTATTCCGTGGCGGATTTGGGAATTGTTGTACCAGCAACAAAAATCCGCCGAGTACTCCTCGGTTCCAGTCCTGCCGAAATCCGATCCACAAAAAGAAAATCTCCGGATAATTGGGGGAGCCGCCTCTATATCCTTTCTGAAAACCACAAACGGACGCTCAAAGTCCTCGCTCGTCGCCGTGGTCTGGTGAGGAAGGCGCCCGGTAGAAATTCCAAAAACGGAAATCCACAAGAAGAAAAATCCGCTCTGTTCTCCTCGGCGACCTCTTGCCCGGTCCAAGCGATCTCGTTATCGCTTAATCCCCTGCTCTTAAGCGGTACCATAAGCCATACACTGATTGTTGATTTTCCCTAATTTCCTACGTACATTGATTTTCATTAATAAAAATTTATCCATCTAATAACTAGATACATACCTCCTTACAAGCACAGGAAGCTGATCAAGGCGATAAAATAAAATTTTATTTTCGGGCAAACAAAAAACTCTTTCCTCTGTTACAATAATTAAATGATAAAAACCCGATTTTTTTTTTGTCACGATAGTTGTCCGAGACATCCTGATACGTCTCTCATTTCTAACCTGACACAGCTTGACGTGGGCCAGTAATAATGAAAAACATGAGCTCCTTTGAATCAATTCTTACTAGATACAGAAACAATTAATGATACAAAAGATTACTTCTGCGTTTTCAATCCTGATACCTCCCGATATTGAACATTAATAATTAAAATTGAGCTCCTGTCGAATCCCACGCCATATTTCGTTCCTACTGATACAAGAGCCTATTTCTGTTATTTCACTCCTGTCACCTGGTAATGGTCAATTATATAGGTAGTTAAAATTAAGCTCCTGTACAATCCCAAATCTACATTTCATTCGTGCTGATACAAGAGCTCACTTCTGCGTTTTCAATCCTGATTTCTCCTGATATTGGACATTAATAATTAAAATTGAGCTTCTGTCGAATCCCACGCCATATTTCGTTCCTCCTGATATAAGAGCCTATTTCTGTCATTTCAACCCTGAAACCTCCTAATAATGGTCAATTATAGTTAAAATTGAGCTCGTGTACAATCCCAAATCTACATTTCATTCGTCCTGATGAAAGTGAACAAGAGCTCACTTCCGCCCCTTCAATCCTGATACCTCTTGATGTTGGTCACTAATCGAATCCCAACTAATATTTCGTTCCTCCTGATGCTATCTCGCCCCTACAATACCGATACCTCCGGATGTTGGTCACTTCTAGAAGTGATAGATCCGAAGCCATATTTCGCTCCTCCTGATACAAGAGCCTATTTCTGTTACTTCATTCCTGACACCTCCTGATAATAGTAAATAAGAGTAAAAATTGAGCTCCTGTCGCGTCTCAAATTTAGGGCCCATGTTTTTTTCTTATGTTATACGACAGTTGCAATTGTTTTTTAATATTAACTACTATAGTATTAATTATATATTATAATATTTAATTTCATATTATATTTATAATATTATTATATTTAAACATTAATTATTATAATATTATGAGTATGAAAATAATATTTTCTGTTCAGGTTGTTTTTTAATATTTGTACCACCTAAAGAAAAAGAAGGAATAGTCTGTGGGATTGAGTCTGTTTGTTCTGTAAAGGTTTTTGACTTTGGTGGCGGTCGGGTGATGGAATTGTGGACGTTTTGGACGTTGTATTGGTTTTAGGAGTCGGGCCACTTCCGACGGACGCGTGAGCGTTTTCGTCCTGTACGCAATGCAACTCGAGAGCCGGGAGGCGACGTGCTCTTGCATCGGCATCTTTCGTTACGAAGAGGACAACTACAACGTCATCAAAGAGTTCGACAGGAAAAACGAGTTGATCATGATCAACAGGACGAGATATTCGAGATCGAGGCCATCATCAATGGGCAGTGCCCGCCGTGCAAGTGGGACAAGCAGCTTTTCCACACCAACCTCGGCGACTTGAGGATCTCCAGCCCTTAGACAGGGACAGCAAGCTCAGCTTTAACGTGAGTCTCTATGGGAAAGTGCGCGCCTGCCACATGGTCGGATTCAATAAGGCTTCTAAGAAGATTTTACGCCTGGGGATATTCATCCAGAAGGAACAGCTGGCCTGTGTTAGCACCTTCTTCGGACACTTAAGCAGAGGAAAGGATATCGACTGCGAGAAAATACAATATTCCGTACTCAACGGGCCGAATAAGTGCGGCTTCACGGGCAGGGAGGGCCAGGTCGACTTCATGAAGGGCACCTCAGTTCACTGCAACATCAACGCGGAGTACTACATCTCCGTTTTCGGGATGGAACGTCTCTCCTCGGCCCTCTTAATGACGAGGACAGACATCCATCCAAACTAGGAGTTCTACAGAAACGTCCACATGGGCGGCAGCAACGCCAGCTGCATCAGGATCACCTCGGCAGTCCTCTTCCTAACCGCCCTCAAATCCACCTGGCCATTTTTCCAATAAAAGACCCAAGGTACAATCTGCACACCTCAAAACGAAATAAACAATCTATTCTAAATTTTGGAATGTTTTGTCTTTCGCTTATTTACCTTAAAATGTTTAATCAGTCTCTCATCCAGACTGGTCCATCTTCCACCCAAAAAAAGAAGTGAAAATCATGTCAATAGGTTGGGGAAAGTTTAAAAAATCAGATGTTTTTTAGGAGCTTTAAAAAAAATTAGTTGTGTGATGTTGTGCGTTTGTCGTTGAAAGAATTTAGGGGAAAATAAGGATATAGTTCAATGTTAAAAGGCTTTATTTCATTTTAAACTGTCCCCCTTCTCGAGACAGTGATGGTTTCGGTCGATGTCGTCGGAAGAAATCAGATGGTCCATTTGACGGCGAGGAGAAGAGCGACCCCTGAAATCTGCAGCCTCCCGGCCTCGTTCCTTCCCATGTAAACTTTTTTGTAGAAAGCCAGGTTGGGCTTTATGTCGATTCTCGACATGAGTATGTTCTGGACCTCCAGTTCCGACGTGACGCCCAATATGTGGTACTCGTTCTGTACCTTGCATAAGACGGGTGAGCCGGTGGCTAGGCTAGGCCCCCCCCCCTAAACCCCGGTCGATCGTAGAACATTTGTTTGTCCCCGTTGAGACGCTACTTTGCAACTGGTCGCAGTCGATTTTCTTCGATTTGCCGTAGACGACGCACAGGAAGTGGGTGCAGCTCTCCTGGTCTTCGGGCACATGGAGAATACTGTACTGGATCATTTTTTCCTTGGTGTCGAATCCGAGTAAGTAGCAGTCAACATAGCCGTTCTCGTCGGAGGACATTTGGAGCTCGCCTTGTTGGTCAGGAGGAAAGAGGACACAGTTGGCAGAGAGGTCGAAGGAGCTTTCGATCTTCCAACCGCCGAGGTTATTGTATAAATGCTCCTTGTCCCAATAGCTCGGCATGCAGTGGCCGCTCACGATGGACTTTTCGATCTCGAACGTCTGCCCCGAGGTAGTCTTGATGATGGTGTGTCTCGGGTCGTACTGGTCGAAAAGGTAAAATTCTTTCTCCTTGTCGAAGAGGAATCGTCCGACGCACGTACACGCCGTGAGGATCGTCCGGCTTGAAACCATCCCCCCCATGCAGAAGATCTGATTCGTATCCCGTATCAAATTCTGGACGACGTACAACGTCGGCTGCAACGCTCCGAACGCCGAACCGAAGATGAACCAAACCGCCCAGCAACGGCTCATCTCCGATTTCACAATCAAGAGAAAACCCTGACCGCCAGCCGTCAAAAAGTCTCAAATGTCCTTCCCTTCCAGCCGTCCGACCCATGATTTTATCATCGAAAATATTTACGTTTCACAAAATGCCTTCAAATGTACAATTCTATTTTCAAAACATGTGTTATTACTTATTTACTCAAAGTAAAAAAAAGAAAAGAAAAGCATTTAGATTAATTTCGTTCTGATACAATATTGAATAACGAAATGCAACCTAACCTCTTTTGAAGGCGAAATCTATAGATGTCATCCTGATACAAGAGCTCAACTTTTCAAGGAACGAACCATCTTTAGTTTACCGTCAGATATGTTTCACAAAAGCTAAATTTTGACTATTTGCCAATATGATGTGCATCTGGGTTAAGATGGCAGAAGTGTGCTCTTGTATCTGGCCTGATATGTCTTTGGGATTCGACAGAAGCTCACTTCTAAAAGCTATTATCTGGCACGTACAGGGATCGAAAGAAAAAAATTAGCTATTGGACGACTCCAGGATTGATCGCAGTCCACGAACTAATTTCTACCACAATCCTCCACTGATATAGATCAATAATAGTGAAAAATGAACACTTACGAAAGTGTTCGAGACGAATAGCAAGTCTAGTTTTTTTCCTCCTGATAGTCACTTCTGTCACTTCTGCCCCTTGAATCCTCATACCTCCTGATATTGGTCAATAAGAGTAAAAATTTAACTCCTGTCCAATCCCAAGCCATATTGAATGAATGAATAAAGGCTTTATTTACACAAAGTATTTACATTAACTTTACATTTCCAAAGAAAAAGCTAAATTGACAATGGCCTTAGCCGTCTGTCAAGTTGCTTTATCAATTTTTGAATTTTGAATGAATCCCTATTTTTGTATCTTTAGAATGAACTTTGATTTTAAAAATTGAATTGGTCAACCAAGTATTTTCGGTACCGCAGGGCGTGAGTGAGGTACACCACTAGCTTCCTCCAGTTATTCCTTCCGTTGAGGATTGCAATGACTTCTTCTACATCCAGCTTCAGTTTCCCTTTGGCGGAACTCTCTCAGAACGGGGCACACTCCCATGAAGTGGACAGTGTCCTCCGGGACGTTGAGGTTACATAAGGAGCAAATGATGGCGCGGTCCTGTCTCCACGGTCGGGAGTTTCTTACGCCGAGAATTTGCCGGCTTCGCTCCGTGGAGACGGGCGGGGTTACTTAATGAATTAAGAATAATGAACTTAATATTAAATTTTTTTAAAAATGGGCGCCACGCTGTTTATATACACGGAAACAGCGAACCGTAAAGAAAAAAAAAAATAAATAAAACAAAGAAAATTCAATAACAGTAAAATTAACAAAAAAAAAAAGAACACAATATTTACATAAGGAAACAAAAAAATACATTTATTCCAATGGAAACTAAAATATTAAACATAGATTAATCTTAATTCTCTGCGGGTAACTTTTTAACAAACTTACACACTAAATGAGCCTAAATTATCACAAAAGCTAAATAAACATTCCTTAAAAACTAAACTTTCCTGGAAACCAGTGGCCAGATATGCTTCTTTTCCAGGCGATTGAAAATCCCCGCTGCTAGGAATGTGGAGCACCTTCTCTGAAGTTGAATGGGTCCGCGATCGCCTTCGTTGATCAAGGAATTGATGATGTTCTTTGCTCCGGCCAGGCCGTAGGGATATCCGTCTCGACGCACACTGTCCTCTCTTTTTATTCACTCCTCTCCTCTCTCATAAGCCTATCCTAGGCAGTCTTACTTTTGATTAACCCACCGCCAATTTTAGTTTAGGTGGCATTACAATTCAGGAGGCATCCCTGGCCAAACAACAACAATACACTCATACTATGTTACGTTTTACAAACGTAACAATTTCAGCTGAAGTAATTCGCCCCTCGCCCTCAAGACCAGAAACACCTCATAGGCTGTCATATCAGAGCACTCCATGTAGTTTCGCCCTATGTGAAAATCCAGTCTTGCGTACAAGTTGTGATGTAAGCTGTTTCTCGCGCGGGTTACCAGGTCTCTCCTTTTGCTTTCCTCCCATTTTTTTTTATCAGGTCAGTGGTATTAGAGGACTTCAGTTCTTCCCTACTTACTCCTACACCGTACAGCTTACCTAACTCTGACAGCTGCTTGTGCCATAATATGCCTTTATTTATTACTACGTCGGCCAAAATCTGCGTCAGTCTGTCAGGTGTGTGATTCAGTATTTTACTTATATATTTCAAATGCAGGCTCAAAGTGTGATTGTAGAGTGGTGTGACCGAACACTCAATATATAGGATGTGTGTACATCCTACATCCTACATCCCAAGCCATATTGCGGTCCTCCTGATAAAAGAGCTCACTCCCGCCCCTTCTCTCCTGATGCCTCCTGATATTGGTCAATTATAGTTCAAATTGAGCTCCTGCCCAATCCCGAGGCATATTTCGACTACCCTGATACTCTTCCACCCCTGCACGACCTGAATTCGCCCCAGTATACACCGACCTACCCTCCCATCACCTCCGAACATTAATATTTCCTCAAATTCGAGCAACTGGGGGAAACGTTCGCGTGCTCCCGGTCAGTGAGGTTGTTTACCACGGATTTACAATTGTAATTGAAATCAATCCGATGTAGTCTCATTACCGAGACTATGATAAACCGGCGCTGGGCACGTGACGGGATTATGGTTGAAACGGCGCGGCCTAGTGGAGGGTGAAAATTCTTAATTCAAAGCCAAGGGTGGCTATTTTTAAAGGCTAATTTTTACGTGCCCTGAATAATACGCCAAGCTTATAAAATATACGCTTGTTTTATATATATATATATATATAT